CACCGCAGGCTGGACTCCATTCATCCTCAGGTTTGTGGTCCCCACGGCCCCAGGCCCGGCCCCTACCCCACCGAGTCCAGGCTGGGCCAACCTCTACTCGGAGGCGCCAGGGTGAGTCTGGAACACTCGGTGAGGCCTCACAGGTTCCCGGTGCCACCACCCAGGGGGCTCAGTGGCCACGAGCCTCCCCCCGAAAGGCTTTCTGGAGCTCAGAGCCAACTGCGGTGCCTGTGGGTTTGCTGAAGTCACGTGGGGCGCACACTCGGCCGTCAAAGCAGCCATATCCCAAGACCCCAAATCTCTCCATTTCTGCCCCGACCCCGGCCTAGACTAACGTGACTTTACAGAAGGACAGCGGTAGCCATCGTTTATGCAGTGCCGTCCGGCACTGAGCACTAGCCGTGACCCCAGGACACAGCTCAGCTCCAGGCACAGTGGGCACTCAGGAAACGTACTTTAAATCAATCCGTCAGCAAATGCACATGTAGTTAACAGACGCGGCCAAGGGTGACAACCTGGGGAAAGCCGCACGGACACCCAGGCTTGTGAAACATGCCGGCATCACCGTGGGGGGCCCGGCACGCTGAGCCTGTCGGCCCCCGACCTGCCTGGCTCCCCACCCGCAGGGCTTCATCTTTTCACACATCCCTCCCACCTGCTCCTTGCTCCCCGCTGAACAAAGGAGGCACAAATATATGTTCAAGGACTGAACGCTCCCCATGGGGCCCCCTCCACCTCCTTTCCAAGCTCCTTCTCCCACAGTCCTGACGCCCACAGACCCGGGACCCCGTTGCTCCCACATGTGACTGCCGTCCCTTCCAGCTCCTGGCAAGAGTCCTGGCACACGGNCTTTCCAAGCTCCTTCTCCCACAGTCCTGACGCCCACAGACCCGGGACCCCGTTGCTCCCACATGTGACTGCCGTCCCTTCCAGCTCCTGGCAAGAGTCCCGGCACACGGGGGCCCCGCCTCCCCAGACTGAGCCCCTGGGGCCCGCTCTGGTCACCATGGATCAAAGGAGCCACGGGAGATGCATGGTACCACCCCCACAAGACCGCCATGGGGTGCCAGAGAGGCCACCTTCAGTGGACACCGGGGAACACTGGCTACCTGGGCAGACCAGCCACCTGCCCTGGACTCTCTCTTCAGAAAGAGGTGCCGGATCTCAGCCAACCTGGCGAGGGCGCTGTTTCTGGGGACCACAGTGTTTCGGGGCCCCCCTCAATCTTTACCTGCTTGGAGTTGGTCAGGTAGAGCTTGGCCGCCAGGTTGATGACCTGCAGCTTGACGATGTCCTCCTCGGCTGTGAAGGACTTGGCCATTTTTCTCAGGACGTCGGGTGCGATCTTGGGGACGTGCTCGCAGTACTCGCCGATGAGCCACAGGATGCTGGCTCGGGCCATGGGCACCTGTGGGCATGGGAGAGGCATGGGAACTGGGGTAAACCGGACTGGGGGTGGCCTGCCGGGGGACATGGCACGCCTCCCGCTGGCACCGGCCTGCTGTGCTATGGGGTCCTCCAGAAACGGGAGGGGCGGTGGGAAAGAAATTAAAAGACGGGCATTTCCTGGGCATCTCCCCTCTTCCCTGAGGTTGTTGGGGGTTTTTTCCAGAGAGAGAGCAGGAGGGGGAGAGAGAGAGAGAAACATCAGCGATGAGAGAGAGTCACGGATCAGCTGCCTCCTGCACGGCCCCTGCTGGGGATCCAGCTGCCACCCGGGCCTGAGCCCTGACCGGGAATCGAACTGTGACCTCCTGGTTCATAGGTCGCTGCTCAACCACTGAGCCACGCCGGCCGGGCTCACCGGCCTCTTCAAGCCCCAGAGTTAATCACGGTTTAAAAGGCTGATTTCCTGGATCCACTGTATNGCCTCTTCAAGCCCCAGAGTTAATCACGGTTTAAAAGGCTGATTTCCTGGGTCCACTCNTTCAAGCCCCAGAGTTAATCACGGTTTAAAAGGCTGATTTCCTGGATCCACTGTATCCTCAATGCTTCACTCCCTCCCACCCTTCCTGAAACTTCAGGAGCTCCTTGTCTCAAAGTCTCCACGTGGCAGGAAAACACAGGACTTGTCAGGTGGCCGCCCTTGGCGAGAGCGGCGGCGAAGACGTGAGTGGGGAGCTCAGTGAGGGCTCCCCAAAGGGAAGGCGAATCTTGGGCTACAAGGTGAGGGTCCCATGGCCCCGTCTTTCCCCTCCTTCCACCTGAAGGCCTTGCAGAGTCAATATGGGAAATTGGGGGGGTTGGTTTTAATTCTAGGGTCTTAACGTCATGGGGAAGACACTGGGGCGGGCAGGGGGCCCAAGGTCACCCCCTCACCTGGATGTTGTCTGTGAGCTTCGCCAGGTGCTTGATGATCTCTCCGTGCTGAGCCGGCTGCATCTGCAGCAGCTTCTTAATGACGACCACTGACTCTGCGACCACCAGCTCTGTGGGACGGAAAGGAGTGCGAGGACCCCGGGTAGCCGGGTGGCCACTCACAGGTGGACAGACAAGGCAATGCCCCCAGACTCCTGGCTCTCTTCCTCAACTCCCTGCCCTCGAGTGGCCCTCGCAGATGCAGGGACACTTGGACACTAACTGCGGCAGAGAGACTGACCACACAGGGCACCGACATAGGCAGACACCCGCTGGTCATCAAAGTTGGACGCTCAGACAAACACTGACCGTCGCGGTTGGACAGGAGCTGCACCAGGCCGTTGAGGCAGGTGTCTCGGACTCGGCCTATGTTCGTGGCGCAGCGTCCAATGGCCTGGATTGTGGCTGCCACGAAGTCCTTGTCCATGCTGCGGATGTAGGTCTGCGGGACACCACCACAGAGTGACCCACTGCAGGCAGTGGCCCCTCCGTGACTCTGCAGGCTTGCGGGCGACCTTCTGGAAAGCTGTCGCCCCCTCATTCAAGGACTCATCATGCCAGAGACTGAATTCTGGGAGAGGGAATGACACCATCACCCGTCGCCCAGTGACTCCCCGGCCCGAAGCCAGCAGAAGGCATTGGGAGAGGACCTAAGATGACCGTTTCTCCACTTTGGACCCTTCAGAGAAGGTTTGACCCACAGGACGATTGTCACTGTGCACAGGGAGCTGGGGGCAGCCCTCCGGGACCCCTCTGCATGGGGGCTGTACCTGGAATTCCCGCAGGACCGTAGGGATGTTGGTCTCATTGGCCAGGTTGGTCAACACTTCCAGCTGCAAGGAGGGAGGGAGAAAGTGGGCTGTCTGTGGTTTCAATGTCCGTCATTCCAAACACACACCACACACAGGCCAACAATCCCCAGGGCAGCATCCTTGGACTGACGAGAGGACTGACAGGTCAGAAACCTGTCCACAGGGCAGGAGGACCGTGTCGCCTCCCAAATGGGTTCCCTGATAGCATGATCAGGTCACCTCCCCACCTCCACTGAAAACGGAAAGCCTCCTACCACTTTTAGGATGTAGACGATGTCCTTCCCTTGGTCTGTAAGTCCCTCAATGATCTGACCGCTGTCCACCTCTGATCTCCCACCGCTCCCCCTGGCCCTCTATGCCCCAGTCACACAGGGCCGCCGTCTGACTCCTGCCCGCCTCAGGGCCTTTGCGTGTGCTGTTTCCGCAATGTGGCTGGAGTGCTTCCAATTCCTGCCCCTGCCTTTACCTACATCATTCGCGTTCATTTCTCAGGCCATTGTTCAGCTCAAGCCTGTTCCTGAAGGAAAACTCCCCTGACACCAGACTAGATCAGGTCCTCCTAATTTTGTGCTCTTACAATAAACCCTTTGTACTGTTCTTTCATACTGTGCTTTGCCAATAAATTTGGACACCTGTTTTGTGATTAGCTGCTAAATGCCTCCTCCTCACCACAGCTAGACTGTAAGCTCCACCAGGGCAGGGTGCCTGGTTCGTTCGCTTTCTCCGAACTGTTTACTCAGTAGGGCCCGGCTGGTATGGCTCAGCAATTGAGCATCGGCCTAGGATCCAGGAGATCAAGGTTTGATTCCTGGTCAGGGCACATGCCCGGGTTGTGGGCTCCTCGATCCCCAGTAGGGAGCATGCAGGAGGCAGCAGATCCATGACTCTCATCATTGATGTTTCTCTCTCTCCCCCTCTCCCTACCTCTCTCTGAAATTAATAAAAATATATTTTTTAAAAATTAAAAAAAAAAAAATTACTCAGTGGGGTAGCAGAGCAGGAACAGAATGGGGTACAGGCTCCTGCCACTTTTTCTGTGGGTGTGTGTTTGCATGAAAGCCTGACAAGGGCGCTGTGTGTGGGTGGAAGACAGAAGACTGCACTGGGAAAGTATGAATTTTCAAGTCAGCAGAGCCGGCCTTGGGGTAGTTACCTCCCCTCCCTGGGTCCACTTTAATAAAATGGAGAAAATGTGCACTCCCTGAGGTTACTATGAGAATCAAGTTGCTTCATGTAAAAGTGGCAGGTACATAACAGGTCTAGGCAAAAAGCCGTTCCCTTCCCCGCACCCTACCCCCAACAGTTCTGGCTGGGGAGACCCCGGGCTCAGCCCCAGAACCGGGCAGGCACCCAGGTGCCCACTGTGGGTATCTGAGTGGGTCTGTGGAGATGGGGACAGAGGCAGAAAGGCATCACCATGTCTGTCCATCACTCACCTTCAGGATCTTGATCTGGGTGGGGTCGGTGGACCTGATGTAGAAGCTCTTCAGGTAGGGCTCGAACATACCCTGGCACAGGAGAGGCAGCCCAGGGAGTTCCGCCACAGCCCCTCTTCCGAGCCACCCCGCCTCCTGACCTGGGCCCAGGACCCTCCCTGCCACACCGCTGTCCTCCACTCCTAATGTGTCCCCGCCTCCCTCCTAGATCCCACGGGGTCTTTCTTCGCCCGGGTTCCCTTCCTGAGCGGACCTCAGGATCCTACATTTGGGGTCTCCCTTCCACCAAGGTGCACCGCCAAGGCACCCTCCCTTTTCCCCGGCACCCCTAGCACCCCAGAAGCCACCCCCAGGAAGGGCAGGGTAGGCCCTGGTCACTTGCTCACCCTGCGCTTGATGGACATGGTGGCCACATTCTGGAGCACCACATACTGCACCTCACTGCAGAGAGAGGTCAGAGGTTAGTTAAGTGGACCCTCAGCTGGGGCCAGGGGCAGCAGGTGGAGGTAAGAAAAGTGGACCAAGCCCAGCCAGCGCGGCTCAGCGGCTGAGCATCGACCTAGGATCCCGGTCAGGGCACATGCCCAGGTTGCAGGCTGGATCCCCAGCGGGGGGCGTGGGGGAGGCCGCCGATCCCTGACTCTCTCATCACTGGTGTTTCCATCTCTCCCTCCCTCTCCCTTCCTCTCTCTAAAATCAATAAAAACATATTTTTTTTAAAAAAAGAAAAGTGGACCAAATCAGAGGGAGGAGAGGGCAGGTGTGGACAGGGTTCCAGTGGGAGGAGGGCAGAGCCGGGGTGAGCACCGTGGGCAGGTGGGTTAGGGTGGGGAGGTGGGGGGCATGACGGGTTC